CCCACACTCATCATGCAGGTATTGACTCCTATCCAGTCCTCAGTGACAGCCCTACAACAACAGCAAACATCTTATGAGGATCGCGTGGAGCAGCTTGAGGTGCGGATTGAGAAGATAGAGCGGGGTGAGGTTGGAGGCTTGCCGAAGCTTCGTGATGATGTTGCCACACTCAAGACTGAACTCCACAAAATGGAGAACCTGGAGTTCGACCTATCCTCCTTCATGCCCAGGGAAGGAGAGCAGGGAGCAAGCACTTCCGTGCCTGGTCTAGATTTTGATTTTTCCACCTTGATGACAGCTCCTACACCTCAGACTTTCGGGGCTTCCCAGACTCCAGTTTCTCCTGCACACATTGACATCCCTTCTGGGGAAGATTCCGAACACTCTATAGAGTCCGATAGTGGGGAGACAGATGAAGGGGAGTGTCGACGCCCACTTTTTCTCGCGAAATCGGGTTTACGACATTTGAGAAGACAACTCTATTCCCGTGTGGGAATTGGGTTTTTTTGGAATTGAAGAGTCGCCACCTAATGATTAAGTGCATTAGGACACTGAGAGTTTTGAGTTTGAAAACCAGAGTTCGTGTAAGGGCTAGAAATTATCTCGAGGGGAAGGTGTTAGGCACCCCTCAAGATCCACTAGTGTGGTTCCCGGCCATGCTATGTTGTGACTTTAATGCAAATAAGTATACAAATAACTTCATACATAAGGGTTACAAATAGATACGTAACAAGTATGTTGGAATCAAGGTCTAGATGATCTACAATTTGTTTGAGGGAGGGTCTAAATGCAGAAAATTAATCAAGACATTGAATAAACAAGGAAGAAAAATTTACGGGAAAAAGGAATAATGCAGTAAAATTAAAGAGGGGTTTTGGGTAGTTCAAAAGACAGAATTTTATTGATATTAAACAAAGTCACATAAAGGAAAGGGGGTCCTAGGTTTGGAAAACACATGGATCATCCACACAACACCGGTAATCAATCGTACGCATAGCGTTATCATGTGATCAACACCTCCATGTCTACCCTTCCCACCCCGTTAAGGTATTTAAGCGCGGAATGGTATCGTTACCTATTGCATGCTATTACCCGTCCCACCTATCAGTCCCGGAGGCGTTTAGGACTACTAATCCTAAAAGGGAGGGAGCTTGGCTTTTCAGGGGTTTTAAAAGGATAAAATTCTAGGGCGACAAACAAAACACATAAAGCAGTTAATGGGGAAATAAGAACAATTAAAGGCTCAAGTAGGCCTCCTCACTTAAAGAAACAAATTATTTAGCATGTCTTACACATACTGTTTAGGTCATTAATAAAAATTAGCGTAGGAAGAATTGATTTACCACATATTTCCCAGATAGGGAGTCCAAATTAGTCCTGCTTAGATGTAGTTGTCGAAAACTGACAGTTGATTAATTATCTAACTATTTGTATGTTAAACAAGGCCTATAGGCATGATATCTATTAATCCAGGGACGGAGGAATAACTGATTGCAAAAAGTCATTAGTTATAAGCTCTACGGGTGTTAAACAAATCGCCACTGATTTTAAACTTAGGAACGAGTGGCGATTCTGATTAAGTTGATAGCTCCTACAGGCATGCTTTCTAGGTGTAACTGATTTTGAGCAGAGATCCTATAGGCAGGTTATCTATATGTAATGAGTTATTTTAACTCCTGTAAGCAGGCTTGCCTAATGATAAATGTATATGCAAAATATAGGAAGTCCTATAGGCATATTATATATACATTATGCAGAGCTTCATTATTGATTTATTGCCATGGTATAATGAAGTGCAGAAAACCTATGGGCATGGTATCTATGTGAAAAATGCAGGCTTTGAAAGTGATAACCCTATGATCATGGTTTCTAGGCGAGATGCAGAATTTTAAAGAGTAAATATCCTATAGACATGGTATCTACGTAAAAATGCAGAGTTTGAAAGTAATGATCCTATGAACATGATTTCTATATGAGAATACGAAAATTTACAGAGTAAATATCTTATAGACATGATTTCTACCCCTTTGGCATGCATTCAGTCCCATCCCCTTTCACTATACCCCAGTAGTTATTACAAAGTTATTTACAAAGCTTATTACAGACCAAGCGAATCAGAAGGAATAATAAAATTACATCAGTGATTACATCTACATCTAATCAGCCTAATCCAGACTCAAAGTCTAATAATATGAGATAAACCATCTTCCAGGATCGGATTTTCAAAGCCTCTCTTATTTGAGATGTGTCAAAGTTCAAAGGAACTTCAAGAATTCCAGGCAATGCTTACACCCCAAAAATCATTGCAGAGTTAAGAACATAGTGCAGTGTGGAAGGGCCAACCCTCAAATGTCAAAGTTCAGAGGGAACTCAAGGTCCCAAGGCAAGGCTCATAGGAGGGGGCAGAACTTAGAGACTAGGAGTAAGTGTAAGTGCAATGAAAGGGAATTAGGGGGAGCCAGGGCAGGCTGGTGGTCATGCCCATCAACTGAAATGCTGGCACACCCCTGACCAACCGGTCAGCTTAAAAATAAAAGAGTTAGGACCTTTTGAAGGTTAGGTTCAGCCCTGGACAGCAACTTGGATGCTGCCAGGCTATACCTTAACTCAATACACATAAGCGAATGGGGTATGGGAAATTGAAAGAGGCTAGGATCTAAAGGACCCAGTTTTAATCCACGACAATAACTTTGTATATTGCCATGTCTTAAACTACAGCCCAAGCATATAAAAGGGCGATGGGGATAGGGATTCATTGCAGCAACAGATAGCAAGACATAAGTATTACTTTAAAGTTGAACTCTACAAAGCAATAAAGTAAGCATGGGCATAAGAGCTTGTAAATAAACACATTGGAGTTGATGCTAGAATCAAAAGTAGGACATACCAGTTTCAGAAAAATAAATGAAAAGCAGAAGCTTTGGTAAGCCAAATTGCAAGCAAGCAATGCAAAAGATCTCAGAAGAGAGTAAAGAGTGCAAGAGAGTTTGTGATTCGAAAATCAGTGAATGAGGGTTGTTTAAAGTATAGAAGGGAAGGCCCTTTTTATAGTGCAGCAAGTAAGTAAGAAAAGGTAAGGAAAATAACCTTGAAAATCAATTTCCCTTCAATTAAGGGATTCTGATTTCCAACGGGTAAAGATAATTAAGGAAAGGGTCAATCAGAATATTTTCCCAAGCAGTACAATAAAGGGTAAATACATAAAAACTATTTAAGGTAAAAGTCTAGTGGCACTTGATTTGTGAAAAACAAGGAAAGGGAATCAGTAAAACAGCCAGTAAAAGAACCAAGTTGAAAGCCTTGTTCGATTGAACCGAGTCAGAAAAGTGGTAAAGGAAAGTTTAATTTAGGGGAAAATCAGTAACAATCAAGTAAGCAACATTAAAGGGATTCAGAATCAATTAACGGTTGGCAAAACCTTTGAAAGAGAAGCTCTCATATATAAAACACATAGACATGTCAAGCAAGAAGGATGTCATGCTATTTACGAAAGACTAGCAAGAAAGTTTCAAAATCACAAACGCAGAAAAAGTTCAAATTCAGTTCATAAACTCGGAGTGAGTCTGAGAGTTTAAGGTTTCAAAGTAGAACCCTTGTCCAAACACAAAATCAAACTTGCCAAAGAAACCCCCAAATCTTAGGGTTTTTAAACTCGAATTCGACACAGAAATGAGAAGGCAAGCTATTGAAACAGACTCAGAGACCTCTTTCAGAGTCTCATGAGAAAACATACAAGCACAATAGCAGGTCCAAGGCAAATAGAACATAGAAACTAATTTGAAGTACAGGGAACAAGTTTCAAGAAAAGCTTGGAATTTAAACGAGTTCAGGAGATAAAGGGGTAGTGTAAACTTAAGGAAATAGTCGATGAAACACATCTCGAAAGAACAAAATCTGGTAAAGGCAAACAAAGGACTAAAACTCAGTAGGAAAACACAGTAAAGGAACACATATCATAGGCATGTGAGAGAATGATATTGAAACCAGTAGGAGACAGAACGGAGCACAACAGAAAACTTCATAATACAGCAAATATAAGAACACACGAAAAAGCATGCGAGTTAGAAAAGAGCAAATAAGAACATAGCAGGGATCGATTCAAACCAAGTAAAGAAGAAGAAGAAGAAGAAGAGTCAAAAACATTTTCAAAAACCCTTTCCAGAAACCCTAATTGAAAAGAAGTAACTTTTGAAAGAAAATCGGAGAAAACGTTTAAGAAACTTAAGCAATATTGCAAACATATAACAGATCTAAAAATAATCGGAGAGAACCTCGATAGTTAGGGTTTCAGATGAACCCTAGAATGAGAAAGGCTTCGAAAATGTCCGATCTAAGTCGGATGAGGGAGAATCAGGCTCCTGAGGCTTAAATATGCCGGAGCAAAGGCCGGAGAGGCCATGGAACCAAAGATCTGAGAAGATCTGAAAGAGAACCATCGGAGTCAGACTTTGAAACCTCGAACATCCAAGGTTTAATGGTGGAGGGGGTGAGTATAGACCATCCATGGCCTGAAAAGTCATGGATTCCGGTGGAGTGGTGGTTGGAAAGGGCAGGAGACGATTAGGGTTTCGACGAGCCGTTGAGAGAGTTTGAGAGACGAAAGGATTTCAAAGGCGGCTATCAGAATGAAATGAGGGATTAGGGTAGGTCGTTTGGGGTTAAAATGGTAAGGGGAAATTATGGCTGTTGATCAAAATGATCAACGGCCTAGATTAATAACAGGAACTGGGCGGATTTTCAAATTGGGTCGGGGCCGGGTAAAAATGAAATTGGGTTGGTCTAATTAGGCCTGGGTCAATTAAGGTTAAAATTGAAATGTAAAGTAGGATACAATTGAAATGAAATTGGGCTAAATGTTAAATAGCCAGTTTTTTTTTTTTGACAGGCAACCAAAGTACAAGTTACATTACGCTTCCCCCTTGCTAACATTCATCAAATAGATATTCACAAATTTAAAAGATCTCAGTCTCTTGACAACCACACAACGGGAGAAAACCCACATTTTATTCTTTCACCCAAGCACAATTAAGACGGTGCAGCTACAAAAGTCTCTGACATGCCCAGTGACACTTTCGCTATTATCCCATAGCATATTTCTGTGCCCAGCTACGAGCAGTGGCCTCATATTTGGACCTGTCAGTCTTGTACATATGAGCAATTTCCGGTACAAGAGGATCGTCTGGATTTGGGTCTGTCAATAGAGAGCAGATGGACAACAGGACCTTAGATATGGTCAATGCTGGACTCCACTGCTCTTTAAGAATATCCAGACAAATGCTTCTGTTGCTATTGATGTTAGGGTGGAAAACCTTAGTTCGAAATGCAACCTTAGGTGGCTTGAACGGATAATCAGGAGGAAAATGAATAGAAACCAAGAATACACCCCCTGCATAAGGGCTATCCGTAGGCCCCATGATTGTTGCTTGCCAATGGAACATGTCCTCAGTTTTCCCTTTTTATTTATAAAAAATAGTAAAGATGATTTTAAAAGCAAATTAAAAGTACTGAGCCAGTAAATAATATATAAATATTGATTTTAAAATACTGGAACCAATTTTATAATTATGAAATACTATCAATCTTAAAATAGGCTAAAATTACAATTATAGGCAATTTAGTGTTTTAAATACCAAACAAAATTGTAAAAAATATTCAAAAAATTACCTCAACTATATTTTGATATAAATATGAGAATAAAATAAATTATTCACCAAAATTGATAGTTTTTGGGAATAATTACTGATTTTTGTACTGCTAAAGTGGACAATAAATTGATTTAAAAAATCTTTTAAAAATTAGGAAAAGTACCAAAATACTTGGGCATGCTTATATATGCATATACATGTTATTTTGAAAGTATTTTGTATATAAAAAATACATAGGAAAAAATTGGGTATCAACAATTTCCAGCATTGTTTTCTTTTAAAACTTCCGCCCATTTCACTTCTTTCGTCTGATTGTTTGCATTCGCTTTTTGATCCTTATTTTATGCACTTATACATTCTTTGAAACAACTATGAAACCACCTATTTTCTGACTCCAGCATGCTTATTTAACCTTTATACATTCCTACTTGTAATCATTATGTGGAAGTTGTCTTGTATGCTTATTTGCTTTAAAGTCACAATTATAACATGGCCAGTAACCACACTAGTGGATCTTGGGGGGTGCCTAACACCTTCCACCTGAGATAATTTCAAGCCCTTACCCATTCTCTGGTTCTTCTTCCTTTTAAATTTTTTGGTTTCCTAATGCACTTAATCATTAGGTGGCGACTCTTCTAAATCTCAAACCCAAATTCCCAAAAGGAATAGAGTTGTCGGCCCAAAATATCGTAATCCCGATTTCTCCTTTAAGGAAAAAGGGGGCATCGACAATGCACCTATTGATGATGTAACATGCAGTGTTTACAGCCTCTGCCCAGAAGTTGTGGGGCAGTTTACTAGAAAGAAGCATAGTCCTAGCCATATCTTCAAGAGTCATGTTCAACTACTCTATTTTGTTGAGGAGTCCTAGGGGCAGAGAAGTTATGATATATACCATGCACATCACAAAATTCAGCAAACTTAGCATTTTCAAATTCAGTTCCATATAGGGGTGTGCATTCGAATCGGTTTATCGATAATTCGGATCGATTATTTGTTATCGGTTTATCGATTTCGAAATTTTCCTTATCGAATTATCGATTTTGTCCTCTTCGGTTAGCGGTTTATCGATAAACCGATAAGATATACTAAAATTTTTTTTTTACCCTTATTCTTTAATACCCTTTCCTTTACCCTAAGTCCCTAACCCTATTACGAAATTTTCCTTATCGAATTATCGATTATTTCCTCTTCGGTTATCGGTTTATCGATAAACAGATAAGATATACTAAATTTTTTTTTTACCCTTATTCTTTAATACCCTTTCCTTTACCCTAAGTCCTAACCCTATTATTTCATCTACCACATTTAAGGAATGACCATATTTAAAGCTCAAGAGAATGAAGTTCAAATTAATGAAAAATAGAATTAGCCGTGATGATGTATTTTTTTTATACCGTTGGAGTGTTGGTGGCATATATTTGATCCCTTACTTTACTTTCGTTGCATGTGCTTGTTGACACAATTTTTATGTTATAAATGATGTTCGTCTTATTTTAGCTTCTTTTTGTCCATATTAGTTAGGCGTGTTCATAGCAATATACTTTCCGCGGAATCCCGCAAATTTTCTTATTGGTGTAATCGATAACCGAATCGATAAGCCCCAAAAATCGATAAATCAAAATCGAAAAAATTGAAACCTTATTGAAACGATAACGATACAAATCGATAATCGATAAGTATTATCGATAAGGGTCAAAATCGAATCGATAAATCGAATGCACACCCCTAGTTCCATGATCAGACCTAATGGATGCAAGTTGATTACCTAGTTGTTTCTGAGTCTTTTTAACAAAAGCAATAAACATGCCAAATGCTTCATCTTTAGATGTTAAGAATAGTACCCAGGTAAACCTAGAATAATCATCAACAAGTACTATCACATATTTCTTACCACCTCTGCTCAATGTTCTCATTGGACCACGGAGACCCATATGAACCAGTTCCAACGTCCTGGTTGTGCTTACCATTTTCTAGCTTTTAAAGGATGATCTTACCTGCTTCCCCCTTGCACAGGCCTCACAAACTTTGTCTTCCTTGAACTTGATGTTAGGTAGCCCTATCACCAAGTCCTTGGAGACTAATTTGTTGAGTTGATTCAGACTTGCATGACCAAGTCTTTTGTGCCACAGGAGGGGATCATTATCCAACACACTTAAGCAAGTGAGTTCATTTTCTGAAAGAGTAGACAAATTTACAGTATAAATATTGTTAACTCGTTTTCCCTGCAAAACAATCTTGACAGTGGTAAGGTTAATCACAAAGCATTTGGTAGAGGTAAATGCTACAAGGTTACCTCTGTCACACAGTTGTGACACACTGATTAGGCTATACTTCAAGCCATCTATCAAGTAGAAATTATCAATGGAGTGTGAGTCTGTCTTACCTACCTTTCCAACCCCAATAATCTCACCTTTCTTCCAATTTCCAAAGGAGACATTACCTCCTTTTAAGTCCTCAAGTGAAAGGAACTGGTTCTTGCTTCCAGTCATATCTTTTGAGCAGCCACTATCTGTTGATACCCAATTTTTCCCTATGTGTATTTTTATGCAAAGTACTCTCAAAATAGCACATGTGTGCATATATAAGCATGTCCAAATATCTTATATTTTTCTCTCAATTTTTAAAGATTTTTAAAATTTATTTCCCTATTTTATTCATAAAAAACCAATAATAATTACCAAAATTATTATTTTTTGGTGATTTATTTATTGGATTCTCATATTTATACTAAAATATAGTTGAGATAATTTTTTCATATTTTTACAAATTCATTTGGTATTTTTTAAGCTAAATTGCATATAATTTCAATATTATCCCCTTTTAAGATTTAATTGCGTTTATATTTACAAAATTAAATCCAGTATTTTTAAATTGATAATTGTACGTTATAAACCATTTTAGCACTTTTAATTTATTTCTAGAAATTAATTTACTATTTCTTATAAAATAAATGGGGAAAAAAATGGCTATTTAAAATCTAGCCAGATTTCATTTCAATTGAAGCCCAATTATACCCAAATTTAAACCCAATTACCCCGGCTCAATTCCTACTCATACCCGACCCCCAACCCAATTAAATCGACCCATACCCGGATCCCCACCTAACCCTTAATCCGAGCCGTTGATCACTTAGATCAACGGCTCCCGTTCCTCCTTTCCTAATTAAGCCCAAAAGACCCCCCCCCCCCGAAGCCCCTTTCATTACTTCACCACACGCCGC